TCTGTGCTCAGGAATAACTTCTGGCAGTGCTCAGGAGACCATATGGGATTCCTGGATTGAACCCAGGTTGGCTGTATACAAAACAAGTGCCTTACCAGCTGACCTATCTCTCTAGCCCTCAGTTTGGGGAGATTTTTGAGATTAATTTTCACTTGGCAAATTTTCATTTTATTAACTAACTTGGGATTATCTTTCAGACCTTCACAAATACAATCCAGGCTCAGACTAATAATGATGGAATTTAGTCAAGCCTTGCCTTTTAGGGAACAGACAACTTGCTAAACAATTTTATACATAAAATGTGAAAGGTGGGAAATTTGGGGATTTGTGAGAGTTGATTTCAAAGATTCTGAAAAGAAGGACAGGATAAAAGTAAATAAGTATGAATACTTTTCCATTATACCATGAGTACCACTATGGCATGAATAAAGCCTAATTAAAACTTTCTGCTTTTATTAAAGTTTTTAATTAAGAAATATAGTTAAATGAATTAAAATTAAACATACCTTTATATAATTTTATACCATTTAAAATATTTTCGTACCATACTGAAACATAAAAATATTTATTTTGATTCAACTGGAAAGCAAAGGTCACTTCAAAAATGCAAGCTAAAACTAAGAATGAATCTGAAAACCTGTCTGGCCATGACAAGGCACAAAGCTCATGTCACTCACATAAAAGGGAAATAATGCTTAGAGCTTGAAAAATGATTGTTGGGCTTTTGCTATCATTATTAGACTGCTGGTGGCCATCTTGAACCACACCATGTCTTAAAAATGCTGCTAACAAATTAGCCTCAGGAAAGCATGCGTGCTTCTAAATGGCAAGCTGTACTCATACCAAGCCACAGTGAATGAGAAAGCAGCAATATTTTCCATATACCAAAATTTCCTAAAGCAGAGCTCCTTGGTGTTACACAAAAGAATTCCTGAACAGTGGTCAAGTGCCATTGACTAATGTATGGATAAGTAAAGTGGATTATACACAATCCAGCTATAAAAATAAACAAGAATCCTGCCACTTGCAACAACATAGATGGGATCTAGAGGGTATTCTTGGTAAAATAAGCCAGACAAAAACATTGTAAGACTTCGCTCATACGTGGTAAATAGAAAAAATAAAACAAAATAAACTTTTAGACTATAAAACCAGTGGCTGTCAGAAGGGGGTGGAGAGTGGGGCAGATAAATCAGAACAGAGTGGACCATTATCTATATATATACCACTTTAAGTGGAAATCTAATATATACATATATATATGCACATACATATAATTTTCATGTACATTTTCCAGTAATGCACACCTGAGACTTAATGTTACAATGCATTGTTATTTCCATTGGTTTGTTTTTGTGGTCATATTTCTCTGGAAAGCCCTTTACTAACTGAAATTACATATGTGGTATGTTCTTCTCACCCGCTCGTCTCCCTGCCTCTGAAGGATGTTTAAATTGAAAACTTGTGTGAGTATATGCAGTGACTTTCTAAGATAATATTTATATTCTCCAAAGTCATTTGACTCTGGCACTCCTTTTTTTAAATGTTTTTTCTTTTTGGTGGGGAAGAGTTGGGTCCACACCTGGCAGTGCTCAGGGATTTTTCCTGGCTGTGTGCTCAGGAGACAGTCCTGTTTGGGCTCAGGCGACCACATGTAATGCTGGGGATCAAACTTGGGTATGCTATGTGCAAGGCAAGCCTTACACACTGTACTATCTCTCCAGGTCCCTAGAGCTCTGCTTCTTGAAGAACATCTTCAAAATGTGTTCTGCAGAACATACTTTGGGGTACACTGGCTTCTATCCAGATGCAATTAAATACGCCCTATCATGGTATCTAACAATCCAGTCATTTCTACAGAGCTGGTAAGGAATGCTGGTGTTACAAACTAAGGCAATTTGGGGGAAATATTAAGGGAAGAGCAATCTAATGGATCAAAAGGAGGAAAGAAAATTTCAAATTCATTTGAAAATAATCTTTATCCTTATCTTCCCTTTACTTTCAAATGTACAAGGAAATGCTGCTCTTTCTAACCCTTTTCCATGAACACTACTGCAAGAAAATTAGATCTGGCAACTTGGGGGAAAATCAGGGTATGTAGGTCTGGCAAAGGAAGAAGTAATCGTTCTCACTGCTCTGCCAGATATCCTAGTGATCCAGTCCAACAGTGTAAATTTCCTGGAACCACTTCGGCAAGGGTTGAAATGTTGCCATCACTTGCCTACAGTCCTGACTCTGGTCCCCATCCATTTTGATACTTATAGTATCATTCCATCTGCAAAATATAAGGCCTGTTTTAAATGGCCCAGCTTGAATATACTCTAGACACTATAAAATACTCTGATACTTTTTACTGCACATTCATGGGGCCAATGCCTTCGATCTCTACCAAGGAACAGAATGTAGCCACTGGCTATGGGGCTGTATGATAATACAATCATGGTTATTAGGACAGTGACTTCTATATCAGTTCCTTGGGCAAGCTGGTCATATAAGATATGTGTTGTATATAAATAAGTCTCAGGAATAAGCACTGAAGGTTTCTATAGAAGTATCATTTCCCCCCTTTGATTAGCAAACTGGAAATATATTTAAATAACAAGTTTTCCTGCAGTCTCCCCGCCCTCCTGTCCCAACCCTTTTTAAGGGTACCAACTGCCGGTGGGGCAGTCAGCAGAGCCGTGCAGTAATGAGGACTGGCCTGGCCTCTTGTAGGGCTCATGAGCATGCAGCCATTCTTCACAGCTTTTTTTTTTTTTCTAAATGACAACCATCTCAAAATTGGCACCCTGGGGACTATTGGCAATTCGAACTTGGGCTAGGGAGGTGGCAGCCTTGGGTGACATTCCAAAGCTTTGGCAGTGCTGTTTCTGGAAGCGCCACATGCAGACTTCGCAAATCAGTGTCCTAGTGGTGGGATTTAACATTTCCTGTCCCTAGAAAATGTGATCAGGTGGTCAGCCACAGGGTACCCCAAGGACTGATGTCTGCAGACCCCACAACCTGAACAGAGGCAGCGGGGGGAAGGAGGGAGGGAAAAGAGAGAGCAAGAGAGTGAGAGTGAGAGCGAGAAAGCGAGAGAGCGAGAGAGCGAGAGAGAGAGAGAGAGAGAGTGCTAAAGAGGGAGAAAGGTGCTCTTGATTTACACACAGTTAGCATCTAACTGCATCTAGTTTTCCCAGAGAGTTATATCTTCTAAAAATCTGTGAGTCATAACAAAAGGATAGAAGGAACAAGAAACATGTGCAAGGTCATAAGGAACAAGAAATAGACCTACTATTTGATTAAGGTCAGAAATAAATTAATTCTACCAAGTAAGGGTACATTGTAATACTTCAGTTACAGGGAAGATCATGCCCTCAGCATTATCTCTTCAGACATTCTACAGTAAGTAAAAAAATTACAATAAATGAACATCAATTTACTTATTTAATAGATTTTTGTTTCCATCTTTACCAAGAAGCTTCTGTTTTTCATTTTAGCCGATAATGATCATGAGATTTAAAAATACCTCCCCCTAGTTACTATGTATTTGGGGGTTGTTAAAAAAAAGAACATAAGACTGTACCAAAAAAGCTTGTATCTATTTGACCTTTAGTTAAAATGGCAGCCTTTGGTAACTCTCCAGTCACAAGGTCCTGAATCTCCAAGCAAACTTGGGTCACCTCCGACCATTCTGTCACTGAACAACCAGCATGTTTCCTGTCCCCCCCCCCCCCCCGTGGCCCCCACCTCTGCTGTATAAACCTCATTGTTTAGTGCCACCGAATCCGAAAATGGTGTCAGGCATTTTGTATTAGGACTATGGCTAACAGAACAATAACCCAGGACATCCAATTAGAAATTATGATGTTCGAGTTTACGAAAGTAAGCAAATCACTTGGGATCCCATTATTATTTCTCATTACAGTCAAAGAAAAGTGGGTTCAGATGGATTGAGTCCTTGACGGCCAGAAGGAAATCTTTCCATGCTTCCAAGTTCTCCTCTGGAACTTGCTTGGAGGAAAGTTCCACAGTTAGGGAAGCCCAAGGGAGGGGCACTGTGGGCAGAAGGTGGTCAGTGGTCAGGTAGGGAGGAGGGAGCTGACAAGAAGCTGTGATGATACAGTCCATTCAGAAAGAACAAAAACAAACAAATGTCCCCTCCCCCATGACATCTGAGACACAAGAGGAGTGGGGGGTAAAACAACAACGTGTGGCTTGAACTACTATACTCAGGCAAACTAGGAATGACACAGTACTTTTTTTTTTTCTTTTTTCTTTTTGTAAATTAAGTTATTAAAATACTGAGATTAACAACAACTTTGGTGATTTGGAAATGGAGCAAGCCTGGTCTTATAATTCAAAGCATACCTGGTCTTATAATTTAGCTCTGGACCATCTAACAATACAGGTTTGAACAAACGTTCCCAAGCAGCTTTGTTACTGTTGAAAAGGAGGATTGTCTAGGCATTCTGCTTTAAATTTTTTTTTTCTTCTGGGAAAAGTCCCCTGTGTGAATGGTGATTTGAAATATTAAGGGCTTGTTGCCTTCCCTTCTTGTCAAGAAGCACATTCCAGCAGTCTTTTGTCAAGCACTGATCTGTGGAACTGTACTTAACCTCAAGAAAGCCATGCAGTTCCAGGCTGTTGCTCCTTGGAACACTGCTTGAAAGATACTTGAGAACTACTTGGACAGGAAAGGGAAAAATACAACTGCTTAAAAATAACCAAACTGGGCAGCTGGAGTCTAATTCAGGGTAGTAATTCCAGCACTTCCTCTGCCCAGTGCAAAGGGCACACTTGGGAAGTCAGAGGGAATTATGACTTATTCAGCCGTTATTTTCCTCTATCTACCCGAGGATGGAAGGACTTACAACTTAACTCACTTCCTCAAATAGATTTCTTGGTAATATTAGGTCAAAAAATAAAAATCAAACTGTGGTATCTGGTGGTGAAGTCTAACAGCTGTTAATTTTATAAGGTAAAGTGTAAGCAAAAAAAAAAAAAAAGATCAAAGTCCCACATGATCAGGACAAAAGCATGAAGACAGGCGAGGTGGGACACAAAGTCGATCTAATTCATAAAGGGCGAGAGGGGGAAACGTTGTTTCTGCTACGGTGGCGGCCATCATCCTCTCCTTCCCTTGGGTTTCCAGAGCAGTCACAGAATACTAAACCATTCCAGATCTATTTCTGGGCTGTTGCTGAGCAGAAACCTGAGCTCAGGAGGACAAAGCATTCTTGGGACAGCTGTGCCACTTGGCACTGGGAGCTGTCCCGTCAGCCCTGGCTCTGTGGTCTGTCTCCTGCAGCTGTCAGAGCCTGTCCTTATGGGATCTTGCAAAGAATCTTAACAGGGAGAATATATGGCACATATGTGGTTCACCTCGTACATATGAGTCTACAGCTATATTGTCTATCTATTTTGAACATTGGATGAAAGAGTTGGGAAAACACGAAGAAACCATTTTTGCAGCCTCTCGGCTACAATGACCAGGAGTACTCCGTTCCTCACCGGGTATCTACCTAAAACCATCAGGGAAGAGGAATCCCGTGTTGGGACGGATGATCCTAATTGTAACTCCCTCTTGTTTCACTACCTTATGAGACATCAGTGGGTTGAAAGTCCTTTAATAGATTAAAGGCAGCTGAAGCCCAAAGGGTTTACTGCTCTTCTGTTTTGCTGCTATTCCTGAATTTCACCACCATTACTGTTATGTTGTCAGGGCAGCCTCTGTAAAACGACTGTAAAACTATGCTCTTGGCTCCAAAGTGAGGTTCATCCAAACGCTCCTTGATGAATCGAACAGCTTCCTCGTTGCTGAAAGCATCCCAGAGGCCATCTGATGCCAAGATCATGAACTCAGGCTGGAGCTTGTCTAGGTCAAAGGTTAGGATATCTGGGTCTGGGATGACCACATTGAGATTTTTCAGGGGATAATCCCCCAGGGACCGAGACATGGCCAGGATTCCCTGGACTCTCCAGGAGCCGTTGAAACTGATGAAACCACCTGCAAAGACAGAAAGCTCATTAGCTTGGCCAGAGTCAAGCCGCAAGTTAAGGCTGACCTACTGCCTGATCTCCCCTCACAGAAAAGCAGCATTCTGACTTTGTGGCTTGAGACCTGACACTCTGAAGTATATCCTGCACTCTACCAGCAGGGCTTAGTGTCTTCCAGACCTCCAAAAATATATCAGAAAGATACAGAAAGGGGTCAGAGTGACAGTACAGTGAGCAGGATGTTTGCTTTGCATGCAGCCGACCTGCTTTGATTCCTGGTATCTCATAAGGTCACCGAGCCCCGTCAGGAGTAATTCCTGAGTGCAGAGTTAAGAGTAACCTCTGAGCATGCTGGGTGTGGCCCAAAAAGCAAACATAAAACAAAGAAACAAGCAACTAACCAAACAAGAGATATAGCAAGTTAGATAAATGTATAGATAGGGGCATTGGTTTTAATTTAAGGTACCATGACAGCTCAGTGCCTGAGAGTAGGAAGGGATGTGAAGGATGGGAGTTTGAGATTGGCAAAAGGGTACTGAAAGGCAGATGGATGCTACTACTGGAATCCATCACTGAGCTTCAGGTCACCTTTGAATATGCCTGTACAGACCTCAAACAGCTCCCCAAATAAGACCAAGATCAAAGAAAAATTTATTTTGGGACAAGGTTACAAGCTCAGGCTCTCATGTCAAACTGCTGGGATTAGGGTTCTAGCCCTGACACCTCTAGTGACTTTCTAGTGACAGTTCTCTGTATAACATGGTGAGAAACTCTATCTTTTTAGTTCTTAGTTTCCCCGGCTACAAAATGTGGAAAACAAGAGTATGTGTATTTCACTGAGTCATCATGACAAATGTAATCACTTAGCACAGCCTGAATATAGCATTCACTCAATGTTATTTACTATTATTTTTTTAAGTGAGCAAGAACTTTATTTACATATGATCTGCAAGGCAATTTGCAAATTATAAAGTTATACACGACAGAGTTGCTCAGGAGGGACCTCTATTAACAGATACAAGTACAAAGCAGGATTTCTTTTTCTTCTTTCTCAGTGGTGAGGATCACCTTGGCACATGTATGGATGGCACCGGGGATTAAATTCATGCTTACACTGGCTACTGCCTAAGCCATCTTCAGGACCCTTTCTTGGGATTCTGACAGAGGATTTCGCATTCAGGCACCACCTGGGTTTGAACCCATGACTGCACTTGCCAGCTAAGTGCTTTGAATCACTGAGTCATCTTCCAGAAGATGAGGGTCAGAACAATTACAGGGTCAGACTAATACCTGATATTGGTCCTCCACTGCTACAGGCAGGTGGAGGAGGAAGGGGTGATTTTTGGTTGATGTTCAGGGAGGTGAGAGCCTTCAAGCTGGGTTTCAAGTGATGGGTAGAGCTCCACTTGGGCCAAGATACAGCGAGAACATTCCATGGAGTGGGCAGGAGTTTGGTGTGGGTTTTCATGTCAGATTGTCCTGGTTTGATCATTTGTCCTTGGGTACACAGGCACACCGAGGCTCCATGTCCTCATTTGTAAAATGAAGATAAAATTACCTCGTAAGGGAGTTAGAAAGAAATAAAGGAGAAGCAGGTCTGGCTCTGAGCACAAAGTGCACGTACAATAACGGCAGCTACTATTTATTGCTGCTGCAAAACAGCCTGCAGAACGAGTCAGAAAGCCCAGTGTGTGTCTGGCCCAGACTGGCTGTGGTGCATTTCACACTAGGCAGGATGGGGAAATATGAACAGAAGGGTGAGGTCAGAGAAAATACATATCAGATCAACCACTGGGTTTTAAAAATTCATTATTGTTACGGGACTACCTGTTGTGCTCAGGGGCTGAGCAGCTGGGAAGTGATAGCAGGGTCTTGTCCAAACAATCTTCTCTACCCTCTGGGCTGTATTACTGACCGACCCATCACTGTTGCCAAGATCTTGTTATAATACAGCTATGATAAGAGCAAGCTAGATTAACCTTCTGAGAAATGAAGTTGAGTGGTGAGTATGACATGGAAGAGGGGTGAGGATAAAGTGGCAGTGACATTTTAGAAGGAAATGCTGGGTGCAAGGGCGTCGCTCATGCATGGCATATGCATATTCTGTATGCCTGTGCTTTCACCAGAGCGAGCTAAGCTTATCTTCAGCTCAGGGCCCCAGAGGGGGGAAGCTTGGGGAGAGGGTGACTTGGCAAGCAAGGAGCCAGCATTCTCCTTCAGCTCACTGACGCTTGATAGATGCTCCTGAAACATTACTGTTCCACCCCATCAACAGAAAACCTGACCAAAGCCTTCATTAAAAATTATTCTGCATCTCAGGCAGTCAGTGAAGCAGGAGGTTGTAAAAATATTCGACAGTTTTTGATTTAATGGTACAGCTTCCTACTGTGAAAACTCTAATGCTGATTAGGTTCTGGGAAGAAGCTGGCTTGTAGAGGCGGAGCTGGCCTGCTGGTCACAGCAGGCGGCAGCGGCCCTCTGGCCCTCTTGGCCAGAGACCCAGGGTTCATGCAGTCCCCTCCAGAAGCTGGGCCTGCCACTTGGCGGGGCATGCAGAGCCAACATACTGCAGTTGTGAGTAGAAAAGAATGCCTGCAAGCTGAATTATGAAAATAGAATCATCGACTGGTGATTTTCCTTCAAGTCTCTGTTGCAGCAACACCTTGGTGAGGCTCACACACACTGCACCCCACTTAAAACTGTACCCAGCTTTATGTCTCTCCATAGCATTCATTACCTTGAAATATGCTAATCTGCTTGTTTGTACTCATTTATTTTATCGTGAATGTCTGTCAATTCCATTACCCCACTCCATCCAATTTCAGAATGTCATTTTGTACCCCTGGCCTCCAGTTATCGAAAACTAATGTATCACTGTATCACTGTCATTCCGTTGTTCACCGATTTACTTGAGTGGGCGCCAGTACCGTCTCTATTCCTCCCAGCCTGAGATTTTAGCAGCCTCTCCTTACACGTCTTTCCCAATGATTGGAGGCTCTTTCAGGGTCAGGGGAATGAGACCTTTTATCATTATTGTTTTTGGCATATCGAATTCACCATGGGGAGCTTGCCAGGCTCTGCCCGTGTGGGCGGGATACTCTTGGTAGCTTGCTGGGCTCTCCAAGAGGCATATTTGATGGGGATCAGACAGTAGGCAACAAAATCATAGAGAGAAATATGTGTATGTGTGTGTGTGTGTGTGTGTGTGTGTGTGTATAACTAATGAAAAAAATACTCCATCAACCCCTGAAATATTTACTTAACCTCAGTGCTGTGCTATGGAAGGAATAGGTGCAAGTTGTTGTCACCAAGAGCTTGGAGCTGGGAAGGCAAGACAAGGGTCAGGTATGCGTATACATTGTGAAAGGTCACCCAAGGGGTCCACAGAGGTGGCCGAGGAAAGACTAAAGGCACACCTGGTCTGGGCACAGTGAGAGAGGAAAGGCTTCCAAAAGAACAGTCATTAAATGACAAGTGACTGTTAATCACTGTAGAGTGGGGACACCCCTTGCAAAGGCACAAAGATGTGAGATATAAGATTCATCTGGGGAATAGCTGTTTACTGTGGCTCTGATGGAAAAAGCAAGGCAAGAGGCGAAAGTGAGGCAGAACGCAGGGCTCGCAGACCTTATTGGCCTTCAAAACAGAAAATAATGATTTTGGCCCTTTTGGAGTCCTTGGCCATGAAGAAGGGCACATTTAAGTGGACATTTATTTGAGAGGCAATGAGACAGGAAATGCGCTGCTCCCTGTGCGGCAGCCTTATCTACCAGGGGTGGTCAAGTGAACCACAGTCCCCTGAACAAGAAGGCTGACAGTTCTCTAAGGCATTTTCAAGCTCACCAGCTTTCTTTATCCGCTTTCTTTCCTTCAGTTGGTAAGGCTTGTGATCATGGGATAAGGGAATGGCGTTCCCATCCTTGTCACACAGGACACCGCGAGAGTCGCCCACGTTGGCCACAGTCAGGTCTTTGTCTGAGAGAAGGGCGATCAAACACGTTGTACCTGAAAACCAGAGGAAGGAGGCAATGGAGGAGGTCAGCGAGGCACAGAGATTCAACTCTCCGGATTATTGAACTCTTTAGTCATTAGAACTGGAGAGAATTTGGTTCCAGCAACCCTGGATGGCTGTTCACTTCAACAACACTGACCAATTCTGACAAGGTTCAACCATGTTAGGCTGTCACTGAAATAAGCTAGGGCAACAGCATCATTCTCCCAAGTCATTCCCCCACCCCGTTACTTTTAATTTAAACACTTAATACACTTAAAAGGACTAGGAAAAAATAAAAACAAGTTTGAAGGTACACACAATCAATACAAACTTTCTGTTTCTCCTCAGCACTGTTTCTGTGTTCAAGTTGAAGATGGGGGATGGGAGTTCGGTGGCCCGCTCAGGTAGAGTCTGGAAGAGCCAGTAAGATCAATGGAGCCGGGGAGCATACAATGAGGCCCTCTTAGCCAGGCCAACAGACTGCGCACCAGGCTGTTTTCACTCGGGGTGCCCCAGAGAGGGGGCCGGGTAAGAGCCCTCCCCACCCCAATGACCCAGCAGCTGACCTCCACTGCCCAATTGCCGCCACACCACGCTCCAGGCCACTCCCCACCCGCTCTGGCTGAGTCTCACATATGAGTGAACATATTCCTGGACCGCGTGGCCATGACACATCATAAGACACTCCCTACCCATTCTCCATAATTACCACACCATATTTGATGGGGTTCGTTCAGTAGGTGACTAATCATAGAGGGAAATATATATGCATATATGCATATTTTCAGATACCAAAGCTCACATCACTCAAACTTTGACAACATGTTAGTGATATCCTATAGAATGTCTTAATGGCTCCTGCCAAAATAGAACAATCATCACACTGTTTTCTGTATGAACACTTTTTTGTAAGCATGTTCAGCAGTTCTTCATAACAGACAATACAAAATATATTCTTTCAGTTGTATTTGGAGACAGAAATTGGGGTCTGGGATGGAAACATCCTGAATTTGGTGGTGGGAAGGTGTATTGGTGGTGGGATTGGTGTTTGAATATTAAATGTAATCAAAAATTGTGAACTAACATAAAATAAAAAAATAAAAAAAAGATCAATGAAGATCAATGGAGTCATAGGGAGCCATGTTGCCTATCAGAGTGTGACAGTAAAGGTGTGATGGGGCAAGACTATAAGATAGAAGCAGAAAAACCTACAGTGATGGCAGAAATGAGGCCCCACAGATGGTAAGGTCAGAGTATGAAGGAAAGTATGACCGAAGACTGTTTACCTGGACACACCTCCCCCGCCCCTCCACACCACTGTTGGTTACAATAAAAACTCTCCTCAAATTGTTCTTGGAATTAAAATGGGTTAAATAGAGCTGAACAGTTTGATCCAGTTGGAATTGCCCTTATTACCTGCTTGGTGCCCTCTGTTTGACTGATTTCTCTCCTTCCTCTTTCTTCCCTTCTGTCAGAGTAGGCAAATGCACAACCCAAGCAAGTACCTTAAATTGATAGTCCCTTTACTTAGTGAAAGTATTCATCAGTTTGTCTTTGCTACTACTTTCCTCCTCATCAAGGCCCTGTGGCATGAGAGAACCGAAAATTCATCCAAACAGATCTTTAAGTCTTCATAGAATAAGAATAGAATAAGAAGGAACTGGGTTCCTTAAATAGATGTAAAGAAGAAATACAAGTTGATGTCAAGAGTATGGAATACAGTTAGCATGACCAGATATTAAAATTCTATTCAAAATCCCATTATATGTATGTTCAATAAACTGCCTTGATTAGAAATGGAAACACGTGAAACTCAAGATTTCCTGTATGAAAAATAGCATGGAAGCATAAAAGATTATCCAAGAAAATGACAGCTCATTTACCTTAACAATACAAATATAAATGCAAGTTCAACTAATATAATTAAAAATTGTTAGTTTTCATTTTTGATAGCCATATTTTAGTTTTCAATTTAAATATTTCAATTCTTACTTTGTTTTCAAGTTATCAATTTTTTTGATCTGATTGTTTAATGTGTCTAATACAATAAGAGCATAAATTCTCCTAAGTTCTTGGAGTTTGAAAGGTGAAACAGAACATTACCTTCCAGAAGATTACATGGTCTCATGACAATCTATCAGTGTGATTCCTAGAGCTGTTTCTCTATAAGCTGTTTCTCTTTCCCCCTCTCAGGCTGCATAAACAGAAACTTCCTGTTCCTGACTTCTGCTTCATCATCTCAGTCTATACTGCCAGTTTGGCTGACACTCCAGAGGTCTCTGGCATTCAGCCATAGCAGCTCTACATCCATTTGTTAGCATAGCTGCCATATAAGATTTTTTTTTTTTTAAGCAGGGAGGTCATTTTTACAGCTAGAAAAAAAGGAAAATTCCCCATATACATGATGAAACTAAGAACTCCCCTGCGCCCCCCCCCCCCCCCAGCTCCCTGTTGTTTTTTGTTTTTCAGGCCATACCCAGTGGCGCTTGGGGTTTACTCCTGGCTCTGTGCTTAGGGGTCACTCTTGGTGGGGAAGAAGGGACCATATACAGTGCCAAGAATTGAAGCTAGATTCACTGCATGCAAGGCAAGCACCTCATCTGCTATACTAGCTCTCTGGCCCTGCTGCTGTGATATGAGGTTTCCATTTCAAAAGATCATTTCAGTGGCATTGTAGAAGATACCTAGAAGCAGGGAGAACAGATAGATTTAAAGAAGATCTGAGTTAGCAGAAAACATAGAGAGCACATCACTTAATCAGAGTGGATGAGTCATAGATGATGGAGACAAGAAGAGAAGGGAATGCCTAGAACACTGTTCTGGTGTCCAGAGGAGGGCAATGGGTGAACACAGACAAGGAGCAGACCCTAAAGGGGGCTTCTGGGAAAGAAACACAGGCAGAAAACCCCATTTTTTTGACTTGGAGTTCACCTGTGTGTTCCTGAGACTGTGGCAGTCACTGAGCTGCGAGGAGGGTCGGGCACTGTGGTGGGGAGAGATGCTGAGAGGAGGTGAGGAGCCTCAGTCACCAGACACAGGACAGCAAAGCTGGCCTGGACCTCTCCTGCTCTTGTTCTTTACTGCTTCAAGCTCTTTTTATGTTTTGGGGCCACATCTGGCAATGCTCAAGGGTTACTCCTGGCTCTGCACTCAGGAATCACTCCTGGTGCTGCTCAGGGGACTCTAGGGAATGCTGGGCATCCAACCTTGGACAGCCGCATGCAAGGCAAGCACCCTATCTATTGTACTATTGCACTGGCCCCCAGCAGGACTGTATTTTGAATAGACTTCTCTATTAGTGATAGATTTTTAAACCTGGTCAAAATGGCCGAACTCTAGACAGTGCAATTTGAGTTGCAGTTAGCACAGTGTTTGTGATCTGAAATGTCACCATTCCCTGCCGACATCCCAGGTCTAAGTATGAGTGAAAACAAACCAGGGTTCTTTTGTCTTAGCTCTTATTATTTGTGCTTAGCTCAGGATTCAGAGTGGTTTGTCATGGAATTTTATCATCTTCACAATTACTTTGTTGCTGAGAATTCCAGAAAAACACTGTACCCAAGAGAAATGGGCAGTCACCTTTTCCTTTACACACATGAGAAAAGAACAACACCAAAATTCTGGCTCTCAGTTCTGAGATAAAAAAACAAAACAAACATGTATTCTTTCATAGTACTATTTGTCAACAATATCAGGTCTCATGATATTATTTAATTTTGAACCCCAGGATGCTTTTATGTTAAGAATTTACCCTAGATGAGGGGCTGGAACAATAGCACAGTGGGTAGGGCGTTTGCCTTGCATGCTGGCCGACCCAGCAACCCAGATGTTCCCCCGAGCACCTCCAGGAGAGATTCCTGAGTGATGAGCCAGAGTAACCCCTGTGCATCGCCGGGTGTGACCCAGAAAGAAAAAAAATTTACCCTAGATGAGAATTTAATCACAAATGCTGAAGATATTTTGAAAATGTCACCTAATTACTTAGCAAATTTAAAGCAAAAAACCAAATTAAAAATGTAAATTCATACATACTTCAATGTGTCTAAGTGAAGTCTGGACTATTCAATACTCAAGAATCAGAAAAAAATAGTACCAAATTCTACTCTGTTGCTCAAGCTAAGAGTTATCTTTGATTTTTCTTTTTTCCTCATTCCTGATATTGAATTTACCATTAAGTTCAATTAGTCTTACCTTTAAACTGCATCTTAAGTGTTTCCAGGTCTTTTGTTCTCCCTGGGTTGACTCTAGTCCATTTGCTGCCACTTCAGTCAGGGGGTGATGTGTTAGTGCATCAGGGGAAAAACAAAGGTGACCAGGTTCTGTGTGATCTGGCCTCCAGGTAAACTGTCCAGGGCCCTGCCATACCAGGCTCAAGGATTTCCTGCCCAAACATCCAAGTCTTCTGCCTACCACTCTTCCCTGTCCTTGACACTGGCTGACTAAGGCAAACGATGGCATCTTCCAAGTGTGATATCTTCAAGGGAGCACCTGGGAGAGAGGCCTTTTCTGGCAGGAGATCTTATTTTCTCATTTCTTTTATTGCTCTCACAATGCCAATGGTGTTAACTTGATTATTTAAATAATTTATTTAATATCAATCTTCCCCTGTTCGATGCCAACTTCACAAGGGCAGGCTGTTGCTGGCTTGTTTCTCTAACTCGAAAGCTGAGCCTACATCAGAAGCATGCAGTAACTTCTGCATAAATGAATTAACCAATAAGTGAATAAATAATCACATACTGTTTCCTTGGTCCTCCTGATGTGGCTTTGTGCCAAGTTCTGTTTAATTAATTAAAGCTCTGACTTAATTATTTTCTCAGAACCTGTTAGCGATTTGACACCATCTCATATCTCACCTTCCAGATTTTACCAGTAGGTGACGCATTACACATTGGTTAACATCGTGTCCCATGCATGTACATGCTCACAGGTACACTGCTAGTAAGTGGGTAGAATTTCCAGCACAAGCCTATCAACGGTTTGTTCCTCCAGTGCAGGCTCCTGGTCTACT